AAACCAGACACCAAACCTGCCAGTGCCTTCATCTTGGACTTGTCAGCCTCCAGATCTGTGACATACATATTTCTGTTGTTTATAAGTTACCCAGTTTATGGTATTTTGGTACAGCAACCCAAATGGACAAAGACAACAATAAGATGAGGTTCAGTATCTTTAGATCAACTCCGTTAGAACGCTATATTCAAATATCACTGTTCACTGGAAACTACCATTCTTGGTTTAAGTAAATGTCCCATCCATTAAGAGGGAAAACAACACTGAAGGCAAGTGTATATGCTTGATGATTTTGGAGACTAAAGTGAGTACTTAGCCCTTTTCTACAAAATCCTTCAAAATGTAAATTATTTATGTCTGGTATTACAATTAAACTCGCTTCACAAGAAGTATTTGAGAAATAAGACATCAAGAGTATAGTAGGGATGGGGACAAACAATCTCCTTATTAACTCTTATATTTAAACCCATTAATATATTAACTACGGTGAACAGTAAGAGAGTCAGGAAATGGAAGCTTTCACATATGCTGAATTAACTACTGCTATTTAAACTCTGACACAAATGTTTATCTTATATACTACTCTAGTTATCAACATGGCTACCAATCTTTTCAGCTGACTGCTACAACGGCCTCAAATCACAGCAAAGAGCAAAAAAATATAAATATAAATATAAATAATAAATAAAAATAAAACATGAAACTGTCAGTGGCTAACTGGTGAAATCAGACGAGGTGATACTAGGCACTGATACAGCCCAATTCAAATTAGTAAACTGCAGAAAGCAAATAATAAGCTTCAATATCCTCTCCTGATAGGAGAGGATAAAAAACCTTTATTGAAGCCTTCTTGTGTTTTGGGGCCACGAAACCTATTTGGTGCTTTACCTCTTAATCTCATTTAGTCTGATCCTCATAAGAACATGTATGAGGTAGCATTGTATCCTTTCTGCAAGGAAGGAAAACAAAGATCTTTCCTTCCTTGTAAAAATTAAGATAACTAAAACAAGTCACCTGAGTAAGAAACGGCAGGCTCAAGGTTTTAAATGAATTCAGTGCAACTCAAAAACGGTGTTTGCCTCCATCTCCACTTAAAATGCTTTCAGCCTGAGAAGGGAAAAAAAAGCCTGGAGAGGTGAATTTGGTCCTATATCATTCATGTAAGTCTCCAAAGGATAATTAAATTTAAAAGAATAGTGTTACCACAGCAGCCAAAGGACTCTGAGAAGTCACAAAATTATAAAACTAGTAAAATATCAACTAAAAAACTGAAAAAGTAAACAGTCACAATTAATTTTCAGGAAATCAGCTTTCAATGAGGAAATTTCATCATTTCCCTATAACCTTCTGAAATCTATTTATAGTACATTACTATTTTACTGACAGTTGAGTAATCTATAATAGTTTACAGCCCAATTTTTTAGGGTAGAAAATGTAAAAAATAGACCAAATACACACATAACATATACAGATCTACATCAAAAATGCTGATACTAGGACATAGCACAGAAGTTATTTTTGAAATAAAATTCCAATACTTTAAAACATCAGCCTAGATAACAAATGACAGATAATCTATCTGACCTCATTGTTTTACAATGGAATAAAAAGGCACCCAAAAGCTTCTCTGTCCAAAAAGTAGAGAAGCAGAATTTGGTGCAGGGAAAGTAAGAAAGCAGTGGAAACATACTTAACTGAGGTTTCTAGATCATTAATAACTATATGCTCAAACTAAATATGACTTAAAAATAGCTTTGTGGCATGCTCTACATAGAAGTGATACAAAACCTACCTCTAGAAGAGACAGATAGATACAATATGCTAGACCCTCACTATAGTTGTACTCCTTAAATCTAATTGTACAGTCAACACAAGAGTTTTATAGCAAATACAAACTTTACCTATGAAGGTACATCACATTTGTCTCACTCAAAAATAACTAAAACAAAAACTCATTCTCTTTTGAGAAAATTCTATATCTAAATCCTCTGCTTCACTATAACTCATTGAAGTCAAATCATTGTTCTCACTTTCCACATGAATAAAACTTCTCCCTCATAAACACTGGAATCCTTCCCCTATTCTAAATTATATCTTACTTAAACCAGTGCCACAAATAAGAATGTTCTACTATCTTACCACTTTGTATAATATGGTAACTTCATCCTGTAGCATTCTAGATGCAACTAATATTGTGAATTACTTAAGAAGAAATGTTCCCATTAAGAGCACATAAAGGACAAAAGTGTAAAATAAACTATAACATGTGCAGAAACTTGTAGAGGCATTCCATCCTTATACTTACATCAAGGATATAAAAGCTATGCCATAGAAATATACAAAGACAATGCTGCCATCTAAAGGCCAAGATATAATATGAAAAGATGTATGCATACTCAAATACTACCAAAACAACTTCATATTTTAGTCAGAAAAGTTTATACTAAAACTATGCTGATTATTTTTAGACTATGCAATTAAGCTCTAACACTTTTTGAGAAGATTCAGTTTATTAAGAGAATTAGCAAAATAATTTTGGCTAATGATCAGTATTTGTCAAAGCATAGGTGAGATTCTTATGGCATTCTTTCTGACACAGTGTTCTCTGTACATATCTGTATCAGCTGCTAATTTAAAATATTTGTTGTTATATTAATTAGAATACATATCAAAACAAAAACATCCCAACTACTTAAAATTGTAGCTTTTCAAGTATTTAAATATTTCTCCTTGTTTTAAATTTTAAAAATATAAACTTCCTATGGGAGGTTAGTTATCAATATCTCAAATATCCAATAAATAGTTCAAATGATTCTACATTTCTTTTTCTAAGAAATTTAAATGGGAAAAACTGCAGTGAATTAGCCTTTAAAACAGCAAAATTACCTCAAATTTCCAATGAAATAAAAACGTTTAATCAAAAAACTAAATACAAAACTGATTCCCTTAGCATTTAGCATTTAAGTATATAACATCTTTTCAATGTACCAAAATATTAGGAAAAAACTAATGTGAAAATAACAAGAACCTTCAAAACAAAACAAGTTGCTTTCTTTGGGAAACCACTGGCTAAAAACTGTTTGATGTGCCAATAAAACTATTTCTCTATGCTTGTTCAACAAGAAAAATACAAGTCAGCAAATATCCTATTTCTTGAGGAATAGAAAACTTCCAAATTGAGATCACCATCCCTTAATTTATCTTGGATATAAAGTGAAACCCAAAAATTGGATAACAAATACAGTTGTGATGCCATAAAAACTACTATATTTTACATGTCTCTTATAAGTCATAGTTTGCACCAATTTAAAGATACTATGTAATTTATTTCTCAAAATTATAACCAGCAAATAGACAGATATCAATAACCTCATTTACAAATGAGGTATAAAGAACTCAAGTAACTTTCCCAGGGTCACAATGCAAGTGAGTAGATATCAATATTCAAAAATTCAGTCTCTCTAACACAGAAGACCTAACTCTCTTTACCAAATCTTACTGTCTCAAGAATGACTATTACACAATGTTTATTAAATGTTATCAATTCTGAGGGTCAATAAAAAGATCTCTTTATTTTTGAAGTACAACTAAAAAAGCAAGTCTTCTTTGTGGTATACTACACGTTCAGGACTACCCTGACAACATTTTCAAATACGGACATGCATTGCTTAATGACAGGAAAATATTATGAGAAATGTGTCATTAGGTAGTTGTATGAACATCATAGAATGTACTTACACAAACCTAGACCAAACAGCCTACTAAAGCCCTGAGCTATATGGTATAGTTTTTACTGTGCCTAAGCTGCAAAGCTGAACAGCATGTCACTGTATTGAATACTGTATGCAACTGTAACACAATGGTAAGTATTTCTGTATCTAAACATAGAAAAGGCAAAAATGCACTATAATAATCTTACAGGACCACTATTGTATATGCTATCCACCGTTAACCAAAACATTGTTATATAGCCCATGACTGTATGTATGCTATTTTTCAATTTTGAGAACTCCTACTGGTGCCTCCTAGTGACAACTTTTTCGTTTAACTGATATGATGTACCTATCCAGTAAATACATAAATGCTTTGGAATATTATTCAGCCATAAAAATTAATAAGGCTCTGATACATGGTAAACACAAACGAACCTTGAAAACATCATGCTAAGTGAGACACCAGAAATAAAAGACCATGTATCATGTGATTCCATTTATACAAAATATCTAGAATAGGAAAACCCCATAGAGATAGAAAGTAGATTAGCAGTTACCGGGGACTAGAAGAAGGGTAAAATGGGGAGTGGTAGTTAATGGGCACAGGGTTTTTTAGAGGCAATGAAAATATTCAAAAAATTAGACATGTGTAATAACTGCACAACATGGTAAATACACTAAAAACTGATGCATTGTATACTTTAAAGAGGGGAAATTTATTTTACGTGAATTACCTCTCAATAAAAAAGATTAAAAGACGTTTAAGTATTATACATTAAATGTGTCTGAGTTACCCATATATATGCTTAAAATACAAAATCTATGTAATTGCCCATATTATCTGCTCTAATTTATCGAATCCCATTTTTTATCATAAGTAAATGGCTCTATTTTACAAGAGTACATTTTTCTGGACATTAAAAAATTCTAATTCTCTACAATTATTACAATCCCTAGAGATACGGAAAGAACTACAACCATAGACTTATGTTTGGCAAATAAGTTTGATTTTTCCAATTTACCAGCATTAGTTCACTGTCCACATTAGAAAAGACACATTAGCACATGCTAATGATGGATTTTTAACATGCAAGTAGCACCTACAAACACCATCTATTCACTTAAAAAATCATTATAAAATCATCACTTTAAAAGAATTTTTGCTTTTGACAAAGTAGTATTTGAACCACCACAAGAAAACAAGCAGAAAAAAAAATTATAAATAGTAGGAAGAATTTGAAGGTAAGCAACTAAATGGACAACATGAGGATGAAAACAAGTACTTACTAATTTGTTTTCCTGCATGTATATTCTCTGTAATTTCAGACAGCCCTTAGCTATGACGATCATGCCTTCATCTGAGATCTTGTAACATTGGCCAAAATGAATATCTTTGAGTTCTCTGCATTTTGAGCCCAGCTGTAAACAAAGAGATTTAGCTGAATGCTCAAAACATAACAAAGGTAATGTATTTCCAGTGAGATTTTCACATATTTTTTGAAAATAATCATGTCAGAGTTAAATATCTGTTACTTTTAAAATAAGATAAAATGTAAGCAACCCATAACTTAAAACAGTACTATATAAACATTTTTACCTTCCTCCCTGCTTCAACTAACTCATACTACATGCCCACCAAGGTACACAGATTACTTAACAGTTCAAAGTTATATATTTATTACTCCAGTATTTTTTTTTGAGACAGGGTCTCACTGTGTCACCCAGGCTACAGTGCAGTGGCTCAATCATGGCTCACTGCAGCCTCAACCTCCTGGCTAAAGAGACCCTCTCACCTCAGCCTCCTGAGCAGCTACAGTACAGGTGCATGCCACCACACTTGGCTACTTATTAAATTTTGTTGTAGAGCTAGGGTCTTGCTATGTTGCCCAGACCAGTCTTGAACTCCTGGGCTCAAGCAATTCTCCCACCTCAGCCTCCCAAAGTGCTGGTATTACTGGTGTGAGCCACTGAACCCAGTCTCTTTTTAGTCTTAATAATTAGGAAAAAAAAAGTTACACTTAAAGGAATAAATTATGGTGTATTCATAAAATTGAATATTATATAAACATTAAAATTGGAACAAACATTTGACAAAAATGTATATAACTTTTATAGTATGATCAAATTTTATAAAGAAATTATGCAAATTTAAATGCATACATATGTATTTGTGTACAGAAAAAGAGACTAAAATACATACCAAGGTGTTCACAGTGGTTAATCCTGACAAGTACATGAGTTTTTATTTCCTTCTGCCTATGAATCTTCTCTAATTTTTGCAATAAACATTACTTTTGTAATAATAATTTTTAAAAACTTCCAAGTTCTGTTTCAAGTGAAGTAATGACATTGGAAACGTGGGAATTCAGTTACTTTTCCAGGGGTGGTGATAGACATAAACTATGTTATTCTAATCTAGGCTGCACTACAACCAATTAAATATTCCTACAGAAATGTAAACTTCGTGAAAACAGTGGTTTGTCTATTCTGTTAAATAAGGTATCTCTAGTGCCGAGTATCTTACACTTAGTTGACACTTAATAAATATTCCTTAACTGAAAAATTAGCTGGGCATGGTGGTGGCACGCGCCTGTGGTACTAGCTACTCGGGAGGCTGAGGCAGGAGAATTGCTTGAACCCAGGAGGTGGAGGGTGCAGTGAGCCAAGATCACACCACTGCACTCCAGCCTGGCCCCTGGCAACAGAGCAAGACTCTGTCTCAAATAAATAAATAAATAAATATTTGTTAAATGAATGAAAAAGCCGATCAGGATTATGCACTATAAAAAAGTTCATTTTAAATGGGCAAATACAAGAAACCATGATTGTGGCCTCACATACTACTAAGTTCCAGTTAATCCAAGGGTTCTACCTGGCCCAAGGAGATAATTCAGGGGTCCAGGAAAGCAGATTTTTAAAAAGGACACGTTCATTTTTTTAAGTTATCCTCTAAGTGAACTTCAGCCTTTCCTTATTACATGAAAAACACCACAGTAGTTTAGCAACACCCGAGACTTTGTAAGCAATAGAAATCAAAGATTATTTCATATATCACTGTTGCAGATACCTTGAAATATTTTCCTTCATTAGTATTCAGCATGCTCATTAGATATCAGATTTTACTGAATTCATTAAAAGAGGCATATATAGTTCTATAACAAATGTACGACGGCATGTCACTGGACCTGAGAAAACTAAATCCAAAGACAACAGTGGGAAAAGCAAAGAAGTTTACTAAAGAACTCTCAACAGGCTCACGTATGTCTGGCAGTGAGGATGAGGGTGGGGCCAGAAATACTAGAATTCTTGAAAGTCAGCTTAAAAATTAGTTAAACCCTCAGATCACCTGCCCATTACTGCATAGGCAGATCTTCCCCATTTTCCCACAATGGCTAAAAACTGTATTTCTCTGGGGAGAGCAAAACGTATGAGTTTTTGGACTGCCGTATACCACACATAGCTGAGAAACAAAAAACAATGCTGAAAATATGGGGATTTGTAAAAGCGGATACAGTGAAAATGAAAAATTCAAACAAATAGTTCTATCCAATTTTCCAGGATGAAAGGATATCAACTTCCAGACTGAAAGGGCTCATCCATGTGTCCAGCACAAATGACAAAAATAGACACGTGGCAATGCAAATCATTATAAAGTTTCAGAAATATGAGTTTAAAGAGATTCTACAGACTTACAGAGATAAACTTCATGGAAAGGATTAGGAGGAAAATACATCAAACTTCTTAACAAAACTAAAAGAAAGCAACAGTCCAATCCTATCAAATTCTGAAGAGAAATTATTTCTAAACTAGAATTCAGTACTCAGGAGTCAAACTATGAATTAAGTGTGAAAGTAGAATTAGAGACACTGTCAGACATATAAGTTATCAAAAGATTTACCTCCCATATACTCTTATCAGGAAGGTTTTGGAATCTGTGCTCTACAAAACATAAGAATACACCAAGGGAAAGGAAATATGACATCTGGGTAACAGAAGATCTAACCCAACAGCAAGAGGAAGAAAACCTTAAGAATAACAGTGGTAAGACACTAAGATGACCACTAATACAATCACACTTGTATAGGAGAAGTCCAGACTAGACTATTACAGGCAAATCTGCTTTAAGGCAGTAAATTTAATAAAGTATTCACATATAGGCATACTAATGCAACTGGAAGAAGGCTTTGGTCTTTATTAGTGCTAAGAGTATAAAAACTAGGTAAAGGAAAAAAAAGACATCTATTAATTCCAATGAAAACAAAATGCTTTAGAGAAAAAAAAAGGTAGGTACATAATTGTAAAATGTAAATGCTGAATACTTATTTAACAAAAATTATAAAAGAATTATGTTGGAAGGATGAGAGGATAAGACACAAGGAAGGGAAGGAAGTGTACGTGAGCTAAATCCTTATCTTCAACAGAAAAGAATCAGCAATAAATAGTCAAAAGTGAATATGTTTTTAAAAAATACAAGCAGATATGGTAGGGGAAGACATTTTCTCATTCGGTAGGAAGCCCAACTAGTCTAATTCCTAGTCTCTCCATTGATTATTCTTTATTTAATAAACTGGACATTTCCAGCTCGTAAGTCTATATACTTCTTCTCATTGTGAATAAACTACACACAGGCAGCAAGCTATCTTTACTTCTCTATTTGGGGCTACTCTGCTGGTCAGCATAGCCAATGACTAGTCAGTTAGCCAAACTTCAGAGTTAGATTAACAAACCCATTTATCACTGTTTGTAAGCAACATTCTCTACCTTAGATTTTCCGAGTCCTAAAGTTGACATCTTGTTCCTCTATCACTACTTCTTTGTCATACTTATCAATCTGATAACATCCTGAGCAGTGAAGAGGAGGTTGTGTGAGACCTCAACAGTTAGTACGACAACTAGAAATACTGAGAAATAAAAGAACAGAATCTATATATTAACAGAAGAAATAAAGGAGGTTTTTGGTGAAGTCTTAAACATCAATGTGAATAGACAAGTTGTAGAACCTCAGGTTAAGAGACGTAAATCACAGTGCTGCAGACTGGGAAAAAAATTTAAACTGACTGCATGGTGTTTTGACATTAAAAAGTAGCTTTGGTGGCTTTATCTATAAGGAAATCACTTTTTATAGAGGTCACAAAGATGGGAACCATGTGGATGGCATATGCAAAAATTACCAGCATGTGAGGTAGTTAGATATGGGGAACAGTGCCTCACAGGAGAAGCTATCACGATTTACTACTACTGAGTAAAACCATCATTAATCTCACTGCAGAAACCGATACTCTGTTTCAGACATCACTGGATATAACTGGCAAGACTACACCTAATCAGTGCCTATCTGCACTAATCACCATTGAGCCATCCATAAATGTCCTAAGTTCCAGACTACCCAAGCACTGTAAAGTCAATCATTATAACTGATATATTTACCAATTTGGCTGATAGTCTTTAAATCTCTCAATGTTGCAAGAAACTGGAGCTCTACCCTGTCAAAAGGGAGAAATCCTAGTGCCCTGGCATCCAGCTGAGACATGAAAAAGATGATACCTTGGGAGCAAAAACAATGTCCTAGAATAAGGCCTATTCTAGACCATTCAAGTTAGAAGTATTTGGGAAACATCTTGGGCTTTCCACAAAATAAAGCATAAAACTGAACATAAACAAGATGAGGATGATCATTCAGTAACTGTAAGGCTTGCCTTAAAAAAAAATATTTCTGGTTTTCAGTCTGGCATGTAAGAACTTTAGAAGTTGCCACTCTGTTCTAAAAAATAAAAAGCTGAACAAACTGAAAATTAACAATTCTTTTTAGATCCATCAGAGAAATGAGGACACAGACCAAACCACTGCTGCAAAACTGCAGAAACAGATAGGCAGATACAGAGAAGCACAACTCACCACAAGAGAAATTACTACCAGAAACCTCAGCAGGAACCAGGACTGGAGTAGGAAAACATGAACTCTATTTGCCAAAATACTGGAGGCACAGTGTGGATAAGTCTAACAATTAAAAATTCCAGGGGGACCTAGTTATAAGACAACACTCACATTGTTGTGAGTTTATCTACAGGAACTCTTCCAGGTCCTCAGGGAGAATATTGGAGAGAAATCACCTCATGCATACAGCAGTGAGAGGAGAAAAGTAACCATTTTGAAATATACCAGAGCATTCTATTATTCTTAACAAGGCCTGTTCTCAGGAGGAACTATTTTACCAGAGCCTAACCTGTGTGAGTCTTGTCAGAGCCTAACTTTCCTAGGGGAAGAGAAAGATTGAATTCCAGCCAGCTCTAGTCTTCCATATAAGAAAAGGGATACACCAAACTCCAGCCCCCTCTAGTCAGTCTAGTCCACCTAAGTGTAGGGAAAAAAATAGCACTGATGAAGGTAGTCCAGCGGCATAAACTTGCCAAAAGATTAAA